CGGAGTACACACACTTTGGCACTGCCACAATCTTTTTGGGCTCACAAACTTTGCTCTCTCTCTTTCTCCCGCTAACAAGCCCACTCCCGTCACTTGCCATATCAGCCACTAATATATCAGACAGTTTGTAGCCTCTTGTTTCTTCGGCTCTTCACCATCTCTGGTAACTTGATCTCCAGCAGCAGTCCAATAAGCAGCAGCAGCAGCCGTCTTTCACCAGCAATCTAGCAGCGATAGGAACTAGCAGTCTTTCCGCTGCTGCTCTTCGATGATGCGTGATTAGCAGAGTTCTTCGATTGGGTCGACCAAGTGCACAGCACAGCACAGACTACGCCACCATCACCGACATCATCAACAGAGCACAGGCACCGCGGCACATTAGCCCACTAATTACCGCGGCAGACAATCACACACTGCAACTCATTGGACTTCTCAGTCAGTGGGTGCCGTACCAGAGCAGGCCAGCTCAACTCACTGTACGGCACTGACAGTCAGTGCACAGCCACTCGAGCAATTCGAGCTAATCAAGCTGCAGCAGCAGCAGCCATCGCCGTCGTTGAGGAGCCGCCGCTGATCCGCAGTGGCAGCAGCCACTGAGTAATCACAACTTCGACGCGACAGCAACACCGCCAACAACACCACCACCAGCACAGTCTTCGGTGAAAACGAAACTGTTAGTCAGTGGTTCTTCTTCTTCTTCTCCTCCTGCACAGGCACGTGTCCGGTGTCGTCAACATCGGTGACAGTGTACAGCAGCAGCTGCTGCCACTGTACATCAGTCTGTGTGTGTGTGTGTCCATGTGCCGTCTGTGACTGCACTACCTAAAATCACTACGCTAGCAGCAACAACAACAACAAAACAGCGAAAACAGCTGAACAGCAAAATCAACAATCACCCTCTCAAAGCTTCTTTCTTGATCCGATTTTCAAACTTAATTCACTGCGATTACTCAATCAACCGAACCAGCAGCAGCACCACTATGATCAAGGCGACTGAATTCCCACCTGTCACCTATAGCTCTTCTTTTGTCTCCTATCTCATTCAGGTAAGCTTTAGGAAATTCCGGTGCTGGTGGTGGTCAGTGGGAGAAATACCAATTTTTTCTGTGTGTTTGTTTGTGTATTGCACCAGTTAGCAAGTAAAGTCGGCAAGAAAGCAGTGCACTGTGCTAGGCAATCGATAGACAGTGCAAAGATGATTCCACAGGGGCAAAGATGCTGCTGCCCTAAATTCACCCTGCTCTGTCCACTGTGTCACTGTCATTTTTCTACTACTTAAAAGTAGTGGAAAAAACATTGTGACTACTTGGCACTGACTATGCACCGGAGACACCGAAGAGTGGATGATGAGAAGTTGGGGGAAAAGTGAAAGAGAGTGCGGTGAATTGCATGTTTTTTGCCTAATGCGCTCAGGTTAGCCAACTAGGCAGCTGATCGACAAAGCAGCTTGATGGGCACCTTAGTTTAGCGGACTGGTGGCTTCAGTAGCTGCTCTTGGCTCAGTAACACAATCTAAACTCGATTGTAGCAAATGAGAGAGTGAGCGTAAGAAAGTCAGCCAGTATTTCCCAGGTTTTGCCCATCGATACGTGTGCCGTCCGGGTAAGGCACAGCACGTCTTACATAAACACACATTAGCATTGTATGGCAGTTGGTTAATTTTGAACAGTGGACTGTTACGGCAACAACCGCTGCTGTTGCTGCTGTTTTACCCACTTATGTAAGATGTGGTGCGTTGATTTGCAGTTGATTTTCAAGTTTTCTTCTTGTTTGCAAGCTCTATTCTCTGCAGATGCAAGCTTCAAGCTAAATTCGGCGAGGCTGTTTGAAGGCCAGTAGATGAGAATGAAGCAAAAAATTTATGTAAGATAAATGTCGCGATAAATAGGCATAAATATAGCCTGCTGCTACTCTTTTTAAAAGAACAAGTTTCTTTTAACTCTTCCTTCTTCTTTAACTTTTTCATTTTCGGGGAAGCGCCGAGGGAAAGAAAGAGGTAGCCACCACTGTTCTTCTTCTTCTTCCAGGCTTTTCTGTTGATGCAAAGTCACACGGCCAATTTGGTTGAGTGTGTGAGTGAGTGTGTTTGTCGTGATTGNAAGCGCCGAGGGAAAGAAAGAGGTAGCCACCACTGTTCTTCTTCTTCTTCTTCCAGGCTTTTCTGTCGATGCAAAGTCACACGGCCAATTTGGTTGAGTGTGTGAGTGAGTGTGTTTGTCGTGATTGGCCAGGAGAAGAAACCAAGGCAATGACAAGTGAAGTAGCGCAGAGAGTGTGTATCGGGCAATTGACGTGCATGGACATTCCTGCACTTGAAATGAAAAAGCTCTTATTAACTGGCGATTAATCGATTACGTAGCAACAGCATCANAGCGCAGAGAGTGTGTATCGGGCAATTGACGTGCATGGACATTCCTGCACTTGAAACGAAAAAGCTCTTATTAACTGGCGATTAATCGATTACGCAGCAGCAGCAGCGGGGGCAGCAGTGAGATCTCGGAAGCTAACGGTTGTTTACTGCTATGCTTGCAAAAGCAGGGCACGCGGTCTGACTGAGGCGCAAGTTCGACTGATCGACTGGCTGTTTGTGTACTTTATGCAAGTAGCTTTCGAAGTAGAGGTGAACACTTGATGATGGTGGCACTGACTAACACCACCACCACCGACTACGTGGTTCAACTCAGGTAGGGATTCTCTCTGCTGTGTGTGTGACACAGACAGACAGGCTACAAACAAGCACAAACCAGTCACCGCGAACTGTGGTCTCGTGATTCTAGTTCAGTCTATCTGTTTGTGTCAGATTAGGGAGAGGGAGAGAGAGAGAGGTGCCAGGACGGGTGATGCAAGCATAAACAGATAACACAGCGTTGAAGAGGCAGCAGAGTAGAGAAGTAGCTCCTGCAATCACCACAACCACCGGTTGAATTGAAAGCAGAAGGAGAGGAGAAAGAGAAAACCAATCAGCAAAACGGCAACAACAACAAAAACTCAGGCACACAGACAGACACTGATTTCGGCGGTACATAATACATAAAATTATTACATTACGAATGCAGTAAATGACACTCACTCAAAAACATTCACTCAGTCACATTCGGTGTTCCTACTGTGAAGTACCTTTCCATTACGACCTTCTCTGGTAGGGGGCGAGAATGGCTGGCGTCTCGTGGTTGCCTGGCCGTGCAAGGCTGCTGGTGCAATCCTGGTAGTGGTGATGATGCTGATGATGATGATGGAAAAGGTGGTGGTGGCGGTTACCTGGACGATCGCACATACATGCTTGCACCCAATCATCATATGCAAACACACACACACTTGCACACACTGTTGCACCCCTCTTTCCCCCTTTTTCTTGCGCGCATCATCATCACCATCATCATCATCACATTGCATACTAAAAATAGCATCTTGCCGATTGGCTCCACACAACCACTATTACCAATTACCTACTCTAGCAAGCATTCATGAGTCATTTAGAAAGGTGTGATGAACGGCCGAATGAATGTCTATGTCAGTCAGTCTGTGTGTTTATACAGTATCTGCTTTTTGCTCTCTCGCTCACTATCTCTTCAGTGCTTTCATTCGATTAAGACGCCGCGATCGACTTGCTGCTTCTTGCCACTGCTGCCGCAACAACACTGCTGCTAAGCTATGCTCTGACGTAAAATGCATTTCATTAGCGTGCGCCCGGTGCGAAACAGCAGCAGCTAAGGAAGTAGCAGCAACAAGTTGTTGTACTAGTGCAGCAGTGGGCAAAGCCGAAGACATTCGCTACGTGTCTTTCGACATGTAGACTTCCAATATTTGCCCCCTTCTTTCCCCCTCTTCACTTCAATCCACCTCAGATCGCTAGGAACATTGCCTCCGGCGAGGTTGTTAGAGTCAGCGGAGCTCCTTAAATGTACAGCGGTTCCTTCATCCTCATCATCATCCTCATCATTATCCTCTTTCTTGTACCTCCTCGTGTGTGTGTGTCGTCCGCCGCGGTCTGTTGATCAACGTGACTGCGACCACCTCGCCAGGCTCGAACTCTTTTCTTACTAGACCACTCTGTGCACCACTATCTCCCAGTGTTGATCAAAGTCGGCGATCGGCGGCGGTATATAAGCGAGAGGACTGCTGCCCCTTCGTCTTCAGTCACCGATCAGACGTTCAGCGCATAGCACCAACTTCGAGTTCCTAATACTACCGCCGCACACCATTACCACTTGTGCGGAATCGTTACCTCTTGTCATTTTTGATATCTATCTATTTATCTATTTATCTACTACTACTGCCCAAGTTTGACAGTTCCTATTTCTCTCGATACGCCTGATTGATATGATTATGTTCTATTAGTTGACTTTGCCAATCACTTCTGCCTTCACTTGTTATTTATTTCTCCACAAACTCTCACTGTTTCACAATGAAACACTTTCAAGTGACGACGAACAAGCACTCTTCGCTGCTTAGCCTAGCGTACCGCCTGAGCCAGGCGATTAAAACTTTGGTAATTTTCTTCTTCTTAACCATTGACGCTTGTGTATCTGCTAACAACACTCAATCATCTATCTCCAATAACCACTAGTTGACTAGTAGCCAACTTTTTCCATACATAAACGACCCATCTAATCAATATTCCTTCTCTTTTTTCACTTCACCACTTGTACAGGCCGCCAATGAGAATGATCTCTGTGATCCGACCAACAACAATCACATCAACAACAACAACAGTACCTCCACCTCCAGCAACTCTGTCGGCCACCACCACAAATCAGTTGCAGCTTCAGTCAACAACTCGGCGGCCACTACAAAGATATCTCCAGTGGTAAAGATGCGCTGGAAGCAGCTGGCGCGGAACGCCTTCAACCACTCCCTCGACCAGAAGGTGAAGCAGGACCAAAAGCAGCAGCAGCAGCAGCAACAACAACAACAGCAGCAGCAGCAAATTTCAACCAAAAACGGCCACCTTTCAACCAAAAAGAGCCACTCCCAGTCAAACGGCCACCACCATGCAGGCAATGGCGGAACTGGCTTCCTCCACACCAGCAACCTCCTCGATCTGCTCTCCTTCTCCAGCCATATCACCTCCGCCGCAGCAGCAGCAGCCAACCCATGTGCTCCTGATCATCAGCTANGGCTTCCTCCACACCAGCAACCTCCTCGATCTGCTCTCCTTCTCCAGCCACATCACCTCCGCCGCCGCAGCAGCAGCAGCCAACCCATGTGCTCCTGATCATCAGCTAAATCAGCACCTTCGCGTGGACAGCAGCAGTTGGGTGCAGCTGTCCGGCCACGAGGACTCCTTTGCGCTGGCCGGCCCGGGCACCATCTGGAAGAAACGGGCGGCCGACAGCACCGAGGTGGCCGTCTACGAGTCGCTGATGCGCGACGGCGAACCGATTCAGGAGATGCTGCCCAAGTACTACCGCGACGTCCAGTACAAGGGCGACCACTTCATCGAGCTGGAGGACCTGCTCTATCGTTACCAGAGCGGCGACGCCGCCATCATGGACATCAAGATGGGCAGTCGGACGTTTCTGGAGGCGGAGGTGGCGGCCAACAACCGGCCGCGCACCGATCTCTACGAGAAGATGATCAAGATCGATCCGCTGGAGCCGACGGCGGAGGAGCACGCGGCGAGGGCGATCACCAAGCTGCGGTACATGCAGTTTCGCGAGGATCTCAGCTCATCGTCCAATCTGGGCTTTCGGATAGAGGGCTTTAAGGTAGGTGTTTAGAGCAGAAATTGCCAATCAAATCAGCAGTCACTAATTTTCCCTTTCTCTCCCTTTCTCTCTCCAGGTCGGCTCTGACGTGAAGCACAACAAGAACCTGCACCTGATTAAGCGGCGCGATGAAGTGGCCAACACCCTGGCCACCTTCTTCCACAGCAAGCCGGAGGCCGCCCAGGCGGTGGTCCATCGCCTGCGACAGTTGCGCAAGTGCTTCGAGAACTCCTCCTTCTTCGCCCAGCACGAAGTGATCGGCAGCAGCCTGCTGATCATCTACACCGCCGAGAAGGTGGGCGTCTTCATGATTGACTTTGCGAAGACGCTGGCGCTGCCGGCCAGTGTCACCATTGACCACCGCAGCGGCTGGCAGCTGGGCAACCACGAGGACGGCTACCTCTTCGGCCTGGACAATCTCATTTCCGTTCTGGAGGAGGTGTCTCGCAGCTCCTCCGCATCGTCCACATAAAGCCTCTGAGGACCTCTGGTCAACGACAAAGCAATCTCTGCCAAAGCTCTTCTAGCTCCTTCCCATCGACTGTGCCATCGCTCACTCACTCACTCACTCATCATCATCAACTCATTTTTGTANAACCACGAGGACGGCTACCTCTTCGGCCTGGACAATCTCATTTCCGTTCTGGAGGAGGTGTCTCGCAGCTCCTCCGCATCGTCCACATAAAGCCTCTGAGGACCTCCGGTCAACGACAAAGCAATCTCTGCCAAAGCTCTTCTAGCTCCCTCCCATCGACTGTGCCATCGCTCGCNAAAGCTCTTCTAGCTCCTTCCCATCGACTGTGCCATCGCTCACTCACTCACTCACTCATCATCATCAACTCATTTTTGTACATAACTGTTTTTATATCTGTCTCTTATTTATTGTTACCTCATTTTTTTTGTTTTAATCTTTTTTTATTAAAAAAAGTACTAGTGATTTTTAATTTTATGAGTACACAACCGTCGCTTTTTATTTTACTTGAATCTCAAATAACCTTCGTCGTGTTTTGATCATCAGCAAGAAGTCAGCTGAGAAAGAATTTGTTTTGTTGTTTTTTGAATCCAAAGTTCGTCACGCCATCTGTGGATGGCGGCGCCAGAAAAAAAGTTGATTTTTTCAAATCAAAAACCGTTGCACTTTTAGCGGCTGCGGCGTGCGTGTTTTGTCAACGGCCACGTCAACTTGACTCGTGTGTCCTCGTGGGCCCCATTTCTCTTTCCAATTTCTCTCATATTCCTCTTTTGTCGCCTATCGGGTTTTTTTCGCCTTTTTTCTCTAGAGATTATATAACGTTTTCGCCAAGGTAAGCTCTCTAT